AGAGGAGAGCAGGAGCCTGTGTCAAAGGGGACCGTTAGAGATGCCGATGGCCTTCACAGAGGCAAGGAGGCCTGCTTCCAGCCTAGCTTTTGGGCAAGTCACATGGCTTCATTCAGCCTCAGTTTCCTCATCTTTCAATTGGAGTAATTTACCCCAGCCTGCCAGCCATCGGCTGTGCTGCACGAGGTAGGTGTTCAGTGGACTTGACATAGTCATGATCATGGTGCTGTCCAATTAGGCCTTGGCTTGCTTTATCCCCAGGCCCCCTTCCCTGCTTCCTCGGGCCCCACGCTGAACTAGGGCTCAGGTCTGTCTTGAGGAGCGCCGGGTCAGGGGTCGGGTGTGTTGATCCAAGCCTGTCTTGACGGGCCCTGGCAGTTGCCTAAGACAGAAAACCTCAGCTTAGAGTGCTTTAAACAAACACAAACATGCCTCCACTCGGGTAACTGGAAAAGCCAGGGGTACCAGCCTTAGGCAAGGCTGTATCCAGACTCAGAGGCTCACATCAAGAAACGGGTTCTTGTGTCTCAGCTCTTATCTGCTGCATTTCCTTCCTGGGCTCTCCCTTAGGACCCCCACCCCCACCCCCCAGCTCCACATTGGCCTCTGACCAGTTTAGCAGCCCCTGTGGGTAATGAGAACTTCTTTCCCCGTGATTCTAGCCAAAGCGGCTGTCTTGGGCACATGTCTATCTCTGAACTAATCATGGTGCCCAGGGATATAAATCTCTCTGGTAACCTGGGCTTGGGTTGCATGGCTTTCTGCACAAAGCAGAGGAAAGGAAACATGTCCCACATAGCCCCAGCCCAAAGCACTCTGTCGGCTGTGCTCCACCACCCAGGGCATGATCATGGTCTTACATTCCAGCCTTGCTTTGTACACGCTGCTTCCTTTATTCGTGATATGCTTCCTAGTGAACTCCTATTGATCCCTCAGAACCCTATCCACATATCACCTACTTTGAGAAGCTTCCCTCCACCTATCCAGCATCTGGTGCTATACGTCACACTTTCCGCACTTGGCTCATCTCATGTCACAATTGCCACAGGCTGCAGGCAAAGGATACCAAAGCTTGGGGACAGAGGTAGAGAATTGTTCCTCTGCTAGAGACTCCATTGCCCTGCCCTGTGCTTCCCTGATTCGCGGTCTGCTTCTCCCACCTGGGCTCTGAATGCTGAACGAGTCCCTGGGCACAGAGCGAGTGCTCAGGACAGCTCAATGGGAAAGATGACCACTGATGGAGTCAGGCCCAGGTGAGTGCAGAACTGACCAGAGAGGGAGGAGGCCATGGAGGGAGCATTGGGCAGCCCAGACTGTTTGCACGTGGACCAGCTCCTTGGTCTGTCGGCTGCTCGTGGCCTGGGAGCGTGAGCGGGCATGCGTGTGTACCTATGATGCAGGACACCATGGCCATCTTGAACTTAGACAGCTTGCTCCTTTTCCCATTCCCAAGACTGCCTCCTTGGGTCTGCCATGATTCAAGGCCTGGACAGCCCATAGGTCAGACCAAGGAGGGGCCCAGCAGCACAAGGGTGTGGAATCGGAAGAAGAAAGGCTGAGGTCTGGCCTGGGCTCAGGTTCACTCAGAGACATCCTTCCTGATGTGGTTCCTATGGCACAGGGATGTCTGCTCCTGTCCCCAGCATGCATGCGGAACCCTGGGTGGTACCATGCATTGAAGAAAGAACTGTGAGAGAACCAGTGGTCCTGAAGGACAGGCGGTGCCCAGATGCAGGGTCCCACCTCACAGGCCCACATCCTCTAGAACCAAATCTCATCTTGCTTTACTCACGCCAAGGAGAGGATTTGGTTCTGCCCCTGCTGGGTGGCCTGCAGCCCAGGTCCGGCCTTCTGGGCCCAGCATTTTTACCAGCACTGCTTGTTCTACACACTTTTAATCAGACTGCTATCTGGGCCTGACTTGTCTCCCCACTGTCCCCAAACATCCTTCCTAGCCACACCAAGAGAAAAGAGTCCTGCCTGGTGGTTCTCTGCCGGACAAGGGCGCCATCTTGGAAGTGAAGTCAACTCCAGTAGACCCCTGCTTGCCTGTTTCTGCTGTGCGGCATGGGGACGTGACTCTGTCTCTGGACGCCAGGTCCTCCTGGTGATGTGCAGGTGTTGGTCTGGAGTTGGACACACCACTGGAACTCCCTCCCTGGGGGTGCTGTGGCCACATGGGGCACGATCCTGCAGGGTGTCCCAGGCACTCCACTAAGGCCAGGCCTGGGAGAGGACAGTGCCCTGGCAGACCCTGGATCCCTGTTTCCTCGGCAATGGTGGAAAAGGGGAGGCAGAGACCCCCTTCCCCCCAATGGTGGCCACTGCTCTGTGGAGACAGAAATCCCAGTTCCTCCATGTGGGGACACAGGTGCCACCTGCCACCTCTGTACCCAGCTGCTGTCCACATGGACAGTGATGTGCATAGTATCTCACTCCTGCCTCCTGCTTGGGGGAAGCTCCAGTGGCCAGTGGGATCTGGGTCACCTCAGACAGACAGACCCGGGCTGCCATGTGGCCTCAACATGTTGCTCAAAAGCCCCATGCGGTCACCACGTGTCTCAGGGCCTCCACTGTGCTTGGCACACTCCACAGTCCAGCCTCTGTACCAGGGAGCCCAGCATTCCTGGGTTTGGGATCCAGACAAGCCACCTATGACCACTGGCCCCAGTACCCACAGGCCACCGTGTTCTCAAAGCCCAGGTGGCCTCCTGCAGACTCTGGAAACCTGCCCTGCCTGAGAAGGACCAAGGAATCTCAGGACAAGGGACTCCCCAGCTGTCCTCCCAGCTAGTGGACACCTTCCTTTTATCACACCCTACCCAAACTTTCAGACTTGTTTCCTTCTGCCCTGGGCCTGACCCTCGAAGCCACATGGGTGATGTTCTCTGAGTGATTTCTTCACAAAACACCTGCCTGTGGCAGGAATGTGAGAGTCCATCCTGCCACTGTCACCTGCCAGAGCCGGCAGGGTCTGCCGTTGGCCAGAGTGTATCATCTTCTTCCCCTGGGGACACCTAGCAACCCCTGCCGGAATAAAGCCATCTCTCAAGCCTGTCCCATTTTGGTCACAGGTCCCTTGCCGCTTCTAGAGGTGGCCTTTGAGGAAGAACATCTAGTGGCGGGGGCTTCTGGTGTATTCCATGGGCTGCTTCTGCCGGGCTCAGTCTCTGCCCGACACACAGGCATGGGCTTCCCACTGACTGTAGACACACCCTGCTCCTGAGCAGAACCCAGGGACCCTGGGTGATGGACTCACCACACTGAGGCTGTAAGAATTAAGAATGCTCCTTGGCTGGCAAAGAGACGAGGGCACTCATGCCCGGGGCAGGGGCTTCAGGGAGACAGCCACAGGCTGCAGCAGGCATTTGAGGGCAGGGATTGATGTGGGAGAAACACGAACATGTTGGACAGATTTTTTGGATCTGCACGTCCAGTGCAATCCCGTTTGCAAAAGCTGGGAAAGAATGTAGCGGAACACTTACCTCCAGGCCCTGCAGAACAGCCTCCAAGTGGGAAGTTGGTGAGCCCAGATGTGCAGACATCTGGATGTCACCTGTTTGGGTCCTGGCTTATACGGATGTCAGCCCAGTTTTTATGCACTATTATCAAACATAATCAGTAATTATCTGTGGTTTGCTCAGCCGACAGACGGGTCATTCCTTCCCTGAAGTAACCAGTTCTAACCATGACTTTCACACGTGCAGGACTGATCCAGGGTGGAGATGTGGCGGGCTCCCAGGAGCTTCTGGGTTTCTCCTCTGAATGTGATTCTAATACCAAAACAGCTCTCACTTAGGGACCCCTGCTGGGTCTCAGGCACAGTGTTTTCTTTTTTGGGGGAGGGGGGGTTCTCATTCTCATGGCAACTCTATGAAATAGACACATCATCATCCCCATTTTACAGATGAGGAAACTAGAGCTCAGAGAGATCAGGCTACTTGCTCACCATGATCCAGCTGGGATCCTAACTTAGGTTTGTCTGAGTCTCGCCACCTACTCGTCTTTCCACTATGTAAATCACAGAGACTCTCAATTTTCTGAAAAATTGAAGATGAGCCCTTGGTAAATGCAGTTTCCATTGACTTTGTTGTGATCCTGCAGCCACATGCCCATTAATTCTGATTCGTCTTTAAGGTGTGAGTTCTGCAGTAGATAACCTGGAAGTACTCCTTAGCTTCTTGGAGACCCCGGGCCAGCAGACTCAGGGGTAAAGAGTCCTGTCATCATGCTGAGTGGAACAGACATCACCTGGAGAACAGAGCAGGGGACATAGGACTGGCCAGAGCCAGCTCCTGCTACAGGAACCAAGTGAGGTGCCTCCTTGACTATGGGTGGACATTCAAGGCGGGGACTCTTTAGCACGAGACCTATTTCCAAGGAGGCAGAGCTAGAATGCTGTTCCAAACCTTCCTCACCATACCAGCTTCAAAACTCATCTTGATTCCTGATCTTTTCTCTCCCCGCTCATCCTGTGGCACAGTGTGTCCCTTGTGGCTGTCCAGCTGGACCCAAAGCTCTGCACTTGCAGGACATCACCAATCCCCTCCCTCTTTCTAACGTTCTGCTAAGAACATGGGGTCCACTTGCACTTTATGCCTGGCATTAGTGTTTCATGTTCTGTGTTCCAAACATGATGTGCGAGTGCATGCATGTGGGCTGCCCTGGACAGGCACCGGGGAGGCAGAGATATATCTCAGAAGTGCGTGGCCAGCAGAGCTCATGCTAGGCAAACCCAGCTGAGCATGCAGAGAGATGCCCTTCGCCCACACGGGATCGGTGGGTGGGCGGCCGCACCAACGTTCACTGGCTCCTGACTGGTTAAGTGTTCCAACTCTTATTTGGAGGCAACCAGAGGATGTCAGTGTATAAAATAAAAGGTGTAGTTTTTTCTGGAAAGTCTTCCTTTGAGAATCACAGACTGCTCGGGTTGCGTTTGGGTTCTGGGCAGGGTTCCCTGTGCATCCTCTTGCTGAGAACATTGTCCTTTGTGTCCACAGGCCTCCCACCCTGAGCGGCAGTCCTGTCATCTCTGACATTTCCTTGATCCGGCTTTCCCCACACCCTGCTGGTCCTGGGGAGTCCCCCTTCAATGCCCCGCACCCCTACGTGAACCCCCACATGGAGCACTACCTCCGGTCTGTGCACAGTAGCCCCACCCTCTCCATGATCTCTGCAGCCAGGGGCCTGAGCCCCGCGGATGGTGAGTAGGGGCTGGGGGCTGGGAGGAGCAGCTGTGGTATCGGGGCATGGTATGGTGGGCGCCCGGTGGCTCTGTCAATGCAGCCATCACTCATGTTGGGTTCTCCAGCCTCAGTCCCCTGGGACAGTGACCAGGCTCAGCTTTCTCCCCACTACCTCTGAACATGGATTGCTTAAGTAAATAAGCCTGGAGATTTGGGGGTCCATTGTTTTTCATGCTCATTAAAGAGTCCCCTGTGTGCAGCCCCTGAGTGCTGTACCTTGACAATATTTAGGTCCTGTCCTAGGTGAAGCCCCCGCTGCAGAAGCTGGTAGGAAGCAAAGTGGGCTGTGGTAGGGGTGTCTCTTGGAACCCCAGAGAGAGCAGAAGGGAGGCAGAGCAGGGCTGGCAGCTGCCAGCATCTCTGTTTCCTGTGCCCTTTGCAAGTCAACACAGGAGGCCTGCAAATGGTAGCCCGGCCCCCACACTCTGTCAATGAGCCTGTGACTTTGCGTCTGTCAGTTCAGATGCTTGAGAAAGAGGATAGATTGGTCCAGGTTAGAGATCACATGGCCACTCCCAAATGATCAGGGCCATAGGGTGCAAAAATGTCTTTCAGACCTAAAATTGTGTATTTCTTGTCCCCCCGCCACCCCGTTGCTACATAGGTGCAAACGCACATGCACCAATGTGCATGCAAATACACACACACACACACACAAAGGAAAGTAAAAAAGCACCTTATGGAGCTGTCCTGCTCATGCAGCTTGCAGTGTTCCTAAGAAGACTGCACTAAGAGGAAAAAATCTAAGAGGAAAAAATCATGTTGTTTTAACAACAACTAGCACCAAGTTTGTGCCTATTTGTTATCGCAGCCTCAAGATACTAATACTCACCATAAAAGGTTCCTAGAAAGAGGCAGAAGCCATCAGCTCTGTAGGGGCCTCAGTGGGAGGCAGAAATGACAGATTGCCCTGGAATGCTCAGGGGCCATGGGGCAGTCAGCCTAGCAGGAGGCCAGGACTCTCTGGAGGAGACAGGAGGATGGCAACTACCACGGGCTGCTTTCATCTCTTCATTACAGGCCTACGAGATGTCGTGGGGGTACTGGCCAAGACTAGTAGGCTGTGAAGCACAGTGGTTAGGATCTTGAGCTTTAGATTCCAACCAAGAGTCCCATCCCAGTTCTGTCACCTCCCTGCCATGTGACCTTGCACACTGTTAAGCTGCTCAGGGGTCAGAGTCTTTGTCTGCTCAGTGGGGACGACAGAACCCTCCTGGACCCTGATGTTGAGATTAAAGAATGCACATGAGCCCTCAGAACCGGGCCTGCCGCAGACCCAGCAGGTGCTCGGCAAGCTGTCACTGATGTCATCCACAGCAGTGTCAGTGGGGGGGGCCTTCTCACCCCCATTTCACTGATGAAAAACGGAGCCAGCTCAGAGCTGGTGCCTCGGGTTTTGCACATCGAGGAAAATCAGAACCCTTGATTGTTCTTGGTGTCCAGCTCTAGGTTGTTCCCTGCTGGGGCCACCTGCCCAGTGCCACCCCCCGCCCAGTGCCAGCCCCCCACAGTCTGAATCCCATCCTCCCTGCCTGATTCCTCACCCTGGGCACAGCTGACTGCAGGGTGGGAGCAGTTAGCCCTGAGGCGGGCGCCGGGGACAGGGAGCTGGTGGGCACTGGCAGGTGGAGAGCCTGTGCTGTCCAGCTGGTGACTCTTGGTGGCCCTCTCACCCTGAGTGTTCTGGCAGGTGTGCAGGTGAAGGCGGGGCCAGCACCGGACTCTAAGGGCGCCTCTCTCTCCCTTGCTCCCACAGTAGCCCACGAGCACCTTAAGGAGAGGGGGCTGTTTGGCCTCCCTGCCCCGGGCACCAACCCCTCCGACTATTACCACCAGATGACCCTCATGGCGGGCCACCCCGCACCCTACGGGGACCTGCTGATGCAGAGCGGCAGTGCCACCAGCGCGCCCCATCTCCACGACTACCTCAATCCAGTGGACGGTGAGTGTCAGTGGGGTGGACCCACGGCGGGTGGGGGGTGGAGCAGGCAAGGCAGGAGCAGGGGTCCCATTAACAGAGCTGTGAAAGCGGTTGTTCCCATAGATTATGACACAGATTTGTTCCCAGATCAATTGTGTTGAAGAGAGAAGGGAGTGGAGATCAACTCAGGGGCTTGGGCCTGAGTGACTGAAGGATGGAGTTGTCAGTCATCGAGACCCACGGCTGCTGGAGGGCCTGTTTGGCGGGGACCTGACAGGGATGTCCCGCATAGAAGAGGTTTCCGGTGCCTGTCTGGCCTGTCGGGTGTCTATCTGACCATGAGCCTCTGCTAGCGAAGAAAGGAAGGGCCAAGGGCTTGGTGCCCACCCCTCCTCTGTCAGAGTTACTCCACCTGCTGCTCCTGGAGCCTGCCCATAGGTCCAGGCCAGGCAGAGGAGCAGGAAGTCACCGCTGGGGCCAGGCCGCGGGCTCCTGCAGGTTGGACTCCTCAGGCCCTCCCAGGGTGGCTTTTTCTCTCCCTAATGGACCATAATAGGAGGAGTCAGAGGCCTATGGGAGATGGCCCATCCTTGAGAGCAGCTCTGGGGCCTACAGGGCCATGTGAGTGCGTCCAGTTGGGAGTGGGCCACTGGGCGCTGTGGGGCCAGAGAGGTCTGTAGGACTTGGGTGGTCCCTTGCCCAGGTGCAGGCTTGAGCCCTCCCAGAGATGTGTCTCCTGAGCTTAGATCTCACCTCCAGTCTTTCTGGAGATGATATGGTGGGGTCATGAGCCACCCTGAGTGTCTCCTGAGCCCCCAGCCAAAGTTTTGCTGGGGAGGAGCACCACAGTCCTATCGTGGATGTGGTCCCAGGCCATCCTCGCCATGCCCTGCAGAGAGGCCACAGCATGCCCCAGGGATGCCACCTGCATTTGGTCCCTTCCCTCTGTGCCTTCCCCAGTGTGGGTGCCATCGAGGACCAGGCGTGCAGCATAGGGTGGGAACGCCCGCAGCTCTCTAAGATCACGAGGCCCCTCTGGGCACACACATGTCATCTGTGTCTTGCCTTCTCTTAACCAGCCCTCCAGGTGCAGCAGGTGAGGGTCTGGGGGATCGTGTGCAGCTCATGCTGCCCCCCACCCCCGAACAGAAACCAAACCACAGCAACGCCGTGCGCAAAGGTAGCCAATGCTGGTGCCCCCAAACACTAGATCCCCTCGCATAGGACTAGGGTGTCGCTCGGCCAGCTGGAAAGGGGACGGGGCAAAGATACCATAGTCGAGAAGGGTCAAGTCAAGCAGGTATTTCCCCAAAAAGCAGCAAAGGCCAAAATGGGTAGCCAGGCTTGTCTGCCCGTTTCAGCCACCTGAGCACCTGCTTCATGCGTGCCGTGTGCAAAGGAGAAGAGTGAGAACCAAGAGTAAGAACTGTACTTTGTCATCATGCATTTTCTCCTTAACCACCTTCTGAGGCTGGAATTAGGCTCCCTACTATACCACAGGCAATCGGGGTCCTAACATCAGGTGACATGTCCCCAACCTCCAGCTGGAATTCCCAGCCCTGCTGTTGACAGAATCATCTGCTCTTCTCTGGGACACAGCATAGAACCAGCCCCCGAGCCCTGGCCTCAGGAAGGGCGTCTGGGCTCACTGTGCCGGGGCTCAGTCTAGAGGCGCAGGACAGTCCTGGCCAAGGCAGAGGACAGCTGACTTGCTGAGGAAGGCGGCAAGGAGGGCCAGGCCAGTGCTCACCGTCTGCTCATCACTAACTTAGCCGGAGGCGGTGGTGGGCCACACAGGGTCAGGGTGGTGTGACACCAGGCCCCTGAGTGACGGGTATATGTGCACATAGCCTGGTGCCCGGCACACAGTAGGTGCTCATTCAATGCTAGTTGTGCTCTCTTTCCGCCAGCACCCTTTTCCCTTTCAAATCCACCCCCTTTTGCAGAATTCTGTAGTCATTGCAGCACCTCTGTCCCCCTCTGGTGCATAAGCCCAGGCCGCAGGCCGTCCGGACGGCTTTTCCTCGCCATCTCCCTGTCTATCCTGGCCCCCAGGTGTGCCAAGTGCGGCTAGTCTCCTCTCCCCAAGGAGTCACCCTCCCAGCACAGCTTCCCTGGGTCTTGTCCTGGCTCCCCAGCACCTCCCCACTGTGGCCCTACTGCTTTGCAGACTGGGAATGTCCTAGGACTTCTCTTAACTTCTCTCCCTTTAATCCATCCCAGCCCTCTTGGGCCACCAGCTCTACTGTGGCGGAGGGACCCAAGGCACCCCAAAGGCACCTGGCCTAGCAAAACAGCAAGCCCCAGCAGGTCGGGGGTGGGGGGACACTGGACAGGGAGCAGACCCTCTGTGTGTCCTACGAGGGAGGGACTGGCAGTTACCAAAGAGCCTGGAAGAGAGAGCTGCAGACTAAGTAGGGCAGAATCGGCTCGGGTGGGAGGGCAGCTGCAGGCTGGCAGGCAGCCCGGAGGGGGCTGGGGAGCAACTCTGTTCTCCAGGGAGCCTGGCGTCGGGCAGCATCTGGGGGCTGAGCATCTCTGAGCAACAGGAAGGCCAAGGCCAGAGGAGTGCGGAGGTGAGCTCATGGGTGGGCGGAAGAGCTCAGAGCTCCCGGCTGGCTGACGTCAGGGGCCGCGGGACAGCCATCCCGCCCCCGTGCTCCTTCCTCCCCTCCACATCCGCCTTGGGAACTTGATTAGCTTGAAGATGCAGCGGGAGGCACCTCCAGATTCCAGAGTCAGCCTGAGCAGGGTGTCCGTGGCTCTGGCTCAGGCACGGGGAGGGCGGGGGAGTTGAGCTCATAACTGTGGGTTTCAGGAACAGGTGACCCTTTCCTGTAATTCCCAACCCATTAAAACGCCAGGAAATCAAAGCAGCCTGGGATTAATTATCTCCTCTGTTTTTCACTACTTAATGCACTTTTTTTTCCCCCAAACTAGCTCGCTCTCATGTTCTCTCTCTCTCTCTCTCTCTCTCTCTAAATGTGTGTGTGTGTGTGTGTGCTGGGATTGGACCCAGGGTTTTGGACTCACTGACTTCTACCACTAAGCTATACCCCAACCCTTCCTTCCTTCCTTCCTTCCTTCCTTCCTTCCTTCCTTCCTTCCTTTCTTTCTTTCTTTTTAAATATTTTTTAGTTTTCAATGGACCTTTATTTTATTTATTCACATGTGCTGCTGAGAATCGAACCCAGTGCCTCACACGGGCTAGGCAAATGCTCTCCCACTGAGCCACCAACCCTACCCCAGCCCTTTCAAGCCAGCCTAAGCCAGAGCTAGAATTTTCACTTCCACCTTTTCAAATGTCTCAGGCTCTTCTGCTCAGACCCAATGTCTGTGTGATGTGTCACTCGGGTGCATGTCTGTAAGATGCTACAAACAATGCTGATGCCCACAGCCCAGGCACAGGTCTTGCTGAGCCCTTATCTGTCTTTGAGGTGGCCCCCAGTCCCCTCCCCTTCCATGACCCTTGGGAGCCAGGGTGGGCCCTGCCTGCTTTTGGATTTTCAGTGGGTCCCAGGTATGCAAGTCTGAGAAGGGTCATGTGTCAACCATAGCACCATTTTTATCTTAACCAAGATTTTTATCTTAACCAATTTTTATCTTAACCAATCTGTATGATTGCATATTTAATGTTTTCAGTAAATTCACCTTTTGGGATTCAATAAATGGAACTTCAAGCTGGGCATGGTGACCTGTGCCTGTAATCCCACTGACTTGGGAAGCTGAGGCAGGAGGATGGCAAATTTGAGGCTATCCTGGGCAACTTAGATCCTGTCTCAGAATGAAATTAAAAAATAAAAAAGGCCTGGGGGTGTAGCTCCGTGGTACATCATCCCGGGGTTCAATCCCCAATACCATGTAAAAACATAAAGGTAAAAACATATTTCCTGAAACAGGAGCCTTGATCATGTTCTAGGAGGAGGTTCCTGTCTCCATCTCCATCCGACCTACAATAATGTCACTTAGGTTGTGCAAATGCCCGTGGTCAGGGAAGGCTGCGGGCATTTGCCCTCTCTGAGGGCATCCCGTGGGATTCAGACTCCACGCCCCACCTTCCACCCAGGACAGGGGTCAGGCCAAGGGCACTTCCTGGGCCGAGGTGCGGCACAGGGCCCCAGCCCCTGGTGGGGGGAGGAAGGCCCATTTCCTCTCTTCTTCAGGGGCCTGATTTACAGCAGGAAGACCAAAGCCATGCCACTTGGGAGGGAACAGGGAACCATTGAGAAAAGCCAAGGTTATCCTGGTGTTGAGTGGCTCTCTGGAGAGTGGGGAATGCACCGGTTGTCACCTGGGCCCTAAGATGGAGTTTTCTCAGTCATGCTGTTGAATGTTGGTGATTTAACAACAGCCGCTCCACGCACCTCCTCCCCTCCCCCTCCCACCACATGGAGGAGATTGAAATGTTTCCAATTGAAATGTCGCCTGTTTACAGCCCATATTTCCTCTGAGCTGTATATTTTATTGTCATATTGACACTAATTTGACTCGGATGTCACCTCCGTTCTGACACCGGTTTTTTTATGCTGCTGGAGAATCCGGTGGGGTTGGGGGGGGTGCGGTGTGCAAAAACCAATTACATTGATCATAGCACAGAGTTGCAGCAGAGGGGCTGCCAGGGACCCAAGTCAGGCAGAGAGTGCTTGCCCAGCCTAGGACAGAGGGGAGATGGGGGCAGATGACACCAGACCCCAGGTCCCAGAGGACAGGGCTGCTAGAGGCCAGGGCTGTTATAAGATGCTACGTGGGTATGGGTCATCTGGTAAACCCGCACAGCTCTGCTAGACCAGCCCTATGGAGCCACTTCCCTGAGAGCCCAAAGTCCACACCCTGAGTTTCTCTTGCCTCTGTCACATAACTAGCAAATGGCTCTGGTGGCCTTGAACTTTAGCCTCCGGGCTCCAGCCTGAGTTCCTTTGGGTCCCCTAGCAGAAGGGGTGGGGGAGGTGTGTGTCCCTCTCATATTTCCCCATTTGCCACTCACTGTGGGGCTGAGGTCCTCAAGGTACATTCCTTAGAAG